ATAAATAATTATATTATCATTACGATTACTATATTAATATTATAATCACTGTTATTAATTATTTTTATTATTGTTGCATTATTACTATTATTGTTATTGTTATTAGCATTATTATTATAGCGATTATTATCATCTCTTTTTCGGTTTCTAAACTTTCATACTTAATTGGAAAAGTGAAACAGAAAAATCGATTTAATTTGTGCTAAATTATTAATATTAATTTTTTTTTTGAAGTAATTCAAGCTTTGATGCTTATCTTTCAATAACTTCCTGAAAATATTAAAAACATAAATTTTGCTTCTAATTGAAAGCAAAGGATTGTATTGATTTTCATTCTTTTAAATTGTTTGATTCATTTATTATTGTTGCTGCTTTTGGTGTTGTTGTTGTTGTTGTTGTTGTTGTTGGTAGTGGTGGTGGTGGTAATTTTTATTGGATGAAGAAGGAAATGAAGTGAATTGCTGTTTTCTTACTTCTTCAGTACTTCCACCGTGTGTTTTATCTTGATCATTAGATTTGTTTGAATCGTACGGTCGGTGCGAATTACGTTCCGTAACAAATCGTCGAATTTCATGCCTGAATAAAAAGCCCCGGGGTAAAGACCGAGGGCAAAAGAAGTGCAAAGAAAGTGAAAAAAAAATTAATTTGATTAATAGAAAACAAAATAATAAGACGCAATTTGTGAATGAAAATACCTGAAATCAACAAGTTCTCCAGGCGCTAAATCACCCGAATTGTCAACATCAACTTTCTTGAAAAATTGTCGTGTCATTGATCGCTCAACTTTATATTTCAATTCGATCAATTCTTCTAACTCATCAATTGTTATCGTTTTATCTTTATTCATATCAAATTCCTTAATAAAAAAGTGATTAAAGAAAGAAAATATTTACGATAATTTTTTGAAATTTTAACAATATGCCACTTTTTTGTCTAGCAATTGGTAAGAATTTTGATTTTATTTATTTTTCAATTTGATAGTGTTAAAATTTTCTATAATTCAACACTTTTTTATATGATATTTTACCAAAATTTTTGCAGTTTATCATTTTACAACTTTTTTTTTATTGCTGTAAGTTTATCACTATTTGAAATACTTCAAAAAAGCATTCAAAATATATATTAGAAAAAAAAAAACATACTTTAAAATGATCTGTAGCAAATTTAATTGCACTTAATCGTACGAGACGTAAAAAATCCGCTAATTCCACTTTGTCTAATTTTCCACTCTTATCCTAAAATATTTTAGCTCATATAATCACGTGAAAAAATTTATTTATTATTTGAAAAATTGCTGAAAAAAAAAGATTATTTAAAAAATGTTTATGGATTCAAATTATTACAAAAAAAAAAAGAAATATTTGATAATTCACAAAATTTACATCAAACTTTCTTTTTTAACAATTAAAAATTAAGCTAAGAAAATTAAATATAATTGATCTTGAGGAACAGAATATTACCTGATCAGCAATAGCAAACAAATTAAACGTTTCCTTAGGATCCATGTCATCTTGTCGTCGGGCCATTGCAACAGCTTCAGAATTATTAATATAGCCATCACCATCACTGTCAATTTCCTTCAAAAAAAAAATTCAGTAATTAATTATTGAATAAGAAAAGGAAATGAAACAATACTTTTCACAACATTTGCCATATAGTATTTTCAAACAAATCGATATCAATTCAATTCTTAAGTTTTTTTTTTCTTAATCAGACATTTTTATTAACATTTTAAATAAAAATAATTGATTAGTTGGAGAAAAATTATTTTTTCACCAATAAGTTTAAATTTATTCTAAAGTACTTCATTGTGGTTTACTTTTTTTGGGAAATTTGTAATTGTTTTAAAATAGTAATTCAAGTAAATAATAATTCAAATTTTCGTTTTTTTTTTTCTGGTAATTTCTAACCAATCAATTATTTCTAATAAGTTTATTTATCATAAACGAATTTATAAAAAGTTAGATTTTGTGCTAAAACTTTATAGATCGAATAATTTTTTAAATATTAATTCTATAATAAAAAAACTAATATTACAAAACCTGCATAATATCTAAGGCATTTTTTACAGCTTTACTACGTATGAGTGTTCGAAATCCGGCAAATTCAATCGGATCCAGCTGGCCATCTTCATTTTCATCTGCCTGTGCAAAAAATGGTGCAAGAATTTTTTCATCAAAGCCATAATGATCAAATGCGATACGTTTAGCTTCATCCATTGTTACAGTACCGCTTCCATCACGATCAACCACCTGGTCATCAAAAATAGTAAGCAAAGTATTGATGAAATCATACTAATTAATATTATTTATTTATTTCTTTTAAAATTATCCAATATTTTTCAATACTTATTTAATACTTTATGATAAATGCAACAATTAAATGATTACGCCATAATTTTAATATTATTCCTTTTTTATTTTCATATTTTTTAAATCATTC